ATATCAAAAATTAAGCAATGTTAAGTTTTTGATTAGCCCAGTTTAATTTTTTTTCAAACGTTTGATTAACGAAAAGACATAAGTACCGTATATTGAGTCTGCATAAAAAAAAAATAGTTGGCCTTGATATACAGGACATACTCTACATGCAGAAATATGCAAAACGTTAGATATTGCTGCTACCACGGAAAATAGCGCCCAGTAAATATTTGACGGAAAACTTTTGTTCGAAATGCTGAATAAATATGTCAAATTATATTTGAATATACAGATTGTTTCTCAAATTTTCACATTATGATAGAGAAAGAATAAAACAAATATTGTAAATGGGTATCGGAAGACACGGATTATCAGTAAAAACGTTTACTAAACGTTGCAATTGTTCCATGTAGCAAACACCAATCATAAAACTTTTTCCCCCCGATATATGCATGCAAACTCTTTGACGTCTTACATTCCAGTAAGGGTTTGCATGGCTGCCTCCACCTTAAGTTTGCATAGTAATTAAAAAGTTCGAGTCTCTGCAAACACTATGTGATATGCCACAATAAATAGAGGCTAAAGCAACCAGTGTCATCCGTTTGACTATAAAAAAGAAGATGTGTTGTGATTGCCAATGAGACAACTTTCCACAAGGTACCAATTGACACATAAATTATCAACTATACGGCCTTTAACAATGAGGTTGTATATATGTATGTAAAGGCTATATAATTATGTATTCTGGTTAAAATTTTCCAAAGCGTTCCAAACTGAAAAAGAATACATAACGTACGTTTCTATGCACAGAAGAGGGTCTGAATGGGTCCTTCATTTCTGTATTCTTTTTTTTTTATATAAACTACCCCTGTATTTTTCCAACACTCCATGTTAATAATTCCGACCCTTATCACTTTTATTTACCAAGAGAAAATTAAAACTTACGGACTGCATGGTATATCTACCAATCTCGTCACGTTCAGTACGACAGCTTTATTACTTATATCTCGTTTATATTTCATGTTCCCGTCTAGAATACAACTGCCATTTATGTATCTGTCCAAAATTTGTGTTTGGATCTGTTTGCCTGCATGCGTATCATTGAAACTTCCAATGCTAACAGTCACATTATGGATGTCCATAAAGAACAAGACTTCTAACGTAACAACCGTCGTCTGATACTGGTAGAATTGCACAATAAAACCTGTAACTCAATAAAACATCGATGGAAGTAAGATAAATGGATAGGATTTATTAAAAATGAAAAAAATGTGTAATGGTTATCAATTGTCTGTCCCTCCCGTTTCTTATATAAAATATCTGTTATTACTTAATACAATTTGTATTTCGGATATATCATATTTCGAAATACGAGAACAAACATTTTCTTTCCTGTACCCGCTAAATAATCCGCCTTTGAATTTGTTGAAAAAATACAGACGTGTGACTAATTTTAATACTATGCGTTTTAACTAACGCATTTCATATTTATTTTACAATTTTGTATCAATTCGAATTCGAAATCGAAAGAATGTTTTACTCAGAATGATTTATTATCTGAGAGACATTATGAACTTTGCTTTCTATAGAATTTGGAAAGTTCTCCTATTTATTTTTCAAATACTCAAATTTTGCTCAGTAAATCTATAAACGATGCAGGATTAGAATTTGATTGATGTTAAGAAAAACGAAATGATTAACATTGCATGCTTAACTAGGAAGCTATGTTACTATGAATCATATATAGTTAAGGTTTATTATGAATAGCTATAATGAGAAATAAATTCAGTGGAATTTGGCTACCTCATTTCAACATTATAGTTACAAATCTTTACATATAGCTATAAATCAATGTCATAGCAACAGTTTAAGACACTTCAATATTGTTTTTAAATTCTGTTCTGCCTAAGTTATATACAGAAATTGTAATTTAATTCTTTTAATCGTATTGTAATTGTTCGTTGCAGTTAAACATCCAGTGGCAAATATTTCATGCAAATTCAGGTAGAGAACAAATTAAAAAATATTACAATAGGTAGTTTAACAAACGTGGCCGTCCGAAATGCAAGGTACAAATTTGATGGGAAAATAGTGACACTTATAGGACAGAACTTGATTTAAATTTACCCTTGTGACACCACGTGTCTGAATAACTGAATATGTCTCGGCATCTTTTATTCGAATTTTTATGGGGAAAAAATATATACAATTACGCTCGCATATTCATGAAAATGAGTGCTGATCATAATTTAAATTATGTAGTAAAAAACTAATTTAAAAAATGGTATATTTCCCAATAAATGAATTTCATTTATAAAAATCTTGTTTTATATTATATAAATAAGACAAATCACTAACCCGGCATTATTAACAATTCTTTAAACTCCGCACAGATCCTCATATCTGTTGCGTCCGAATCTTTTTTCTGAGTTTCACTTCAAGAAAGCCCAAAACACGTCAGTTTGAGGGCAATTGATGTATGATGACTTGAATATTTAAGGGGTTTAGTGACCATAAGGGACATTTAAAGATTACCCATATCTACATAAGGTAAAGTGGGAGTTGGAACCTTAATTCTTAATATTTTCTAAATACGAAGGATTTCCTGATTTTATGTTTTGATATTTATGATCAGAAGTATTTCATAACTCTTTATAAAGTAGTTATTATATGTTGATTACGCTTCTATCAAAGTACTTTTTCTATAGATTATTACTTAAACGTTTTTACATGCAAGATGCGAGACTGTGCTCTTGAATTTATGTTAATCTAATTAATGATATGAATTTAGCATTTGTAAAAGTTCAGATCTATAATTATCAAGATTAGATTTCGTCTTATTATACAAAAAGATAGGTTATTGTGCTTCCGTTGAGTCAGTGCAAGTCAAAACTGCAAGATTTTGCTTTAATAAAAGTTAACGAGAAAAACGGATGCAAAAAATGTAATAACCCTAAAAGTATTTTCTAAACTTCGTTTTTTTTTCTTTTTCTTTTGTGTATTATAATAAGATAAGTCTTAATAATAAATGAATCGGATTTACGTGGATGTAGAGAAGGCAGAAATGAAATCTATAGCTGGACATTTACAAGGTAATTTCGAGATACACTATAGTGATTTGATGCGCAGAAATTTTGTTTCCATTGTACACAACCAAAGCAGTAATTTAAAAAGCAACTAAGCACCAATTTGGTATTATGATACTTACGACCTCAGATCAAATATACAAATAAGTAAACATGGGAATATTGGGACAACACAAATAAATAAATAATAAAAAAAAAGAAATTGTAATTAATAAAAAATCCAAAAAAGTAGAATAATAATAATAAAAAAATACCAGTAATAGTATTACAAACCCCGTATAAGTATTTAATCATCGACGTAAAATGAATAGATTAACAAGATAGATTCATATGTGAAAATGAGTAAATATGGATGAAAAAATAATACCTACATAAAAGATAGAAGTGCAATAAACTCCTCATCTTGTATTAAGTTCATCGGATAACCATTTTACACAGCAATTCCGAAGTAGGACACATTTTTTATGAGCTACATGGACTTTTGCCAATCATAGTATTTTTCACAAACAGATATAAAATTCTGTAGACCAATGCATTTAAATTCAGGAAGTAAAATTCCCTTGTCGTTAAATGAAACTGCCATGACATAGTATTAGTTTTTGGCTATAAAGAAACAATCGAATACTTTTGATATAGGTAAAATTGATTTGATACTTACATATATGCTTCCTAGACTTATTGATATCATAAAGGTTATAATTAGTTATGATGCTGTCCAATCGTTGTTCTAGAATTTTAGAGGAATTAAATTTTATGTTTGGAAGAATTAAATGTTTCTTCTATCTTTTTCTCAGGATATGTATTAAAATTCTGCATAAATTTATGTTGCGCATCAACATTGATACCGCATCTTCATATCAAATATATTCTGAAGAAAAGTCATCGCTATTTAGGCATATAACGGGCTGATTTCTTATTAAACGAAACACAAATAACCAAAAGACATCAAAGGTCATAAAACAATCTTGAACAATAGACAATCGGAATACATGTACTAGTATATGATATTGCAAGCTTTAAAGCACTCGGGTTGAAGAAAAGGGAGGACGAGACGTACCTCCAACCCAAACATCACCGCAAAAAACGCAAAAAAATTATATAAACCAAGTCAAGTTATAAATCCCATTACATGCACATCCTGCAGACATGTTCAAGTGCCTTACCCCTTGTCATGCACTTCTCCAGCGTACCTAAATGTTTTCTCATTCTTTTGGGTTTCGCTGTTGACAGGGACAGTCTATAGAAAGTCTCTGCTGTTGATGGCACGATTATTTGATACCCCCCTTTACTTTAATTTACAAATTAATGTCTTTAATTCGATTCTAAGCTCGATTTGTTAAGTGTAGACATTTGTTTATTGTTGAAGGCAGTATTCTAACCTTTTATAGATATTTGGAGTTTTTGTGCCCTTTGGTTGACATATCTCTTTTATTCATATAAGATTTATATAAAAAAATGTATTATAATCTATTGTATTATAGATCTAAGACTATAATGTCATTCTTAATAGTTCCATATTATATTTGCTGTCTCGGTGTATATAGATATTTTTTCAGTTCCGTGAGAGACAATCTTAATCAATATTGCCTTTGCAGAGTCCCCATGGAAAAAGCTGGTGATCGGGGATATAAGAGTGGGAAACACGCCAACATGTGCCTTTCTATGCCGCCGATATTCTTCAAATTATGATAAGAATTTTAAAAGAGAAAAATCTATTTTATACTTAATTAATACGGATACTATTCTCTGAATTTTTTAACCCAATATACCTTAATGTAACCAGAGACATGTAATATATGTCTCTGATGTAACACGTGTTATATCAAGGTATATAGAGAAACAAAATTAAGAGACATCCTTGTGTGCACAGTTATTCTATGATATGGGAGATAACTCGTTATTTCCGGATAACTTTTTCAAATCCATCCCGCGTTTCAACTTTATAAATGAAAAATGGCAACACATGAAACTGAAACTGGTAAATTTCATTTAATATTCACAAACGATATATATGAATATGAAGCCGGCCACATGTCACATTTCTAAATTGAAACCATGGATACAAAATTATCTAAATCTTATTTAGATTTGAAAACAAACATCCATGTGTACTAAAAAACCTACACAGGCTACAGTGCTACACTATTTTTTAACAGCACTGCCACTGGCACTGGTAGTCCAAATAATTATGACGTCTTGAAAGGCTATTATATATTTTTGCTTTGACGCCTTCCATCGACGTCAAAGCAAAAAATATATTAGCCTTTCAAGACGTCATAATTATTTGGACTATGCAAGGATTTGTATAGTCTTACTATACAAATCCTTGGACTATGCCACTGGCTATTTTATATATGGTTATATCCAAATACTTTAAGATTTGTTTATTATATTTCTCAAAAGTAATAAAACATATAGATCATAGATATAGTTGTCAGTCTTATGATATATTGTATGTATTTTATGCAATGTGTTCATTGTCATCGAGCCCCTCTTCTTTTTTTAATCTATGAATATTTGAAATTTCGGCCTTAGATACATATTAAAATGTACATCTGTGATATAAATTCAGAAATCCTGTTTTACTTTTATATGTAAATCTTTTATCTAGACTAATTTGAAAACAAATTAGATACTATATATGGTAACGTGTACATATACAAAGAACTAAGAAATAGCACCAAAAAAGTTCATTGGAGTTGACTTAAGAGCAAGCAGCTCCTTTTGTAAAACAGTCATTTATAAAATTATAATCTTAAACTTTTTACAACCTGCCGAAAAGAAATATTAAGGAAATAAACTCGTACAAAATTGAACAAAATGCACTCAAACAAAATTGAACAAAATGCACTCAAACAGAATTGAACTAAATGCAATGCACTTTTTCACAATTGAATAAAATGCACTCAGATATTTGAACGAACAAAATTGAACAAAAATTTACTCATACAAAATTGAACTTAATTAACACACTTATACAAAATGAATGAAAATGTGCACTAGCTCATACAAAATTGAACAAAATGTACAAAATTGAACAAAAATGACACTTATACAAAATTCAACAAAATGCACTCATACAAAATTGAACAAAATACACTTTTACAAAACTGAACAAAATGCACTCATACAAGATTGAACAAATCACACTTATACAAAATTGCACAAAATGCACTGGTACAAAATTGAACATAATGAACTCATACAAAATTGAACAAAATACACTCATACAAAACTTAACAAAACTTTCTCTTACAAAATTGAGTAGAATGCATTCATACAAAATTGAACAAAATGCACTTTTTCAAAATTAAACAAAATGCACTTATACAAAATTGAACAAATCTTATACAAAATTGAACAAAATGCACTTATACAAAATTGAACAAAATCCTCTCATACAAAATTGAACACAATGGACAAAATTGAACAAAATGACACTCATAAAAAATTGTACAAAATGCACTCATGCAAAATTGAACACAATGCACTTGTTGAAAATTTGATAAAATGCACTCGTACAAAATTGACCAAAAATGCACTTATACAAAATGAAGTATCATGACCCTAGGAAACAAAATATCAGGTTTCAGAATAGAAATATTGAATTTTTATACCTTAAAGTTATTTCAGCAATTCACAAATTATCCATTGCAAACTATTTTGGTTAACTTTTAATGCATGCAGATTACTTGACATTCTCCAAACAAGTGGTTTTTTTTTGTAAAATCTAATGTTGCCTTGGGTACAGAGCTCAAGTAGCAAGATGACATGCTGATAAAGTAATTGATTTATGGCAGCTTTATTTTCATTTCTTAGATGAAACCTACATAAAAACCATGAAAATGGCAATAGCAATGGCCTGTATAAGAAGTAAACCAGATGACTTGACTGCTAAAGAATATACTGAACAATTATGTCAGAACTATTTACAGAAACAACAAGAATGCCAGGAAAGACTGAAATCGACAGAAAATGAAATCCTTCAGCTTCGACAGCAATTAGTTCTACAGTCTGCACTTGGACAAAATGCATTTTTACCTTTAAGAAACACAGGTATTTGTCAATTTGAAAAATGACTCATATGAATTTGGCAAATTTATTTATGAAATCCTTCAGCTTGACAGCAATTAACTAACTGTTCTATAGTCTACACTTGGACAAAATGTATCTTTAAGAAACACAGGTAATTGTCAATTTGAAAAATTACATATATGAGTTTGGCTAATTTATTTGTAAAGTGTATCATGTATGACACTTTGAATTGATATCATGTTGATCATTAAGGGGACCTAAGTAGGGATTATTTGATATTCCAAAACTTCCTGAACACCAAATAGTTAACATATTTCATGTAATTTTTTTGGGACATAAGCTTCAAAAACTTATCTCGTTACATGCACTTTTTTCAATATACAGATAAATTTTTAATAGCTTTTGATATGCATGTATATATATACATCAGAAATATTGGTGACATAATAGCTCTAGTTTCTATATCTTTTGTTCATTCCTAGTGGGACATGAGGCCTAGTTTCTAGATGGTTTAATAAAATTGATTTTCAATTTATCAAACTCCAAGCATTTTGCCAAGTGACTTAATTGTCACATTTATGTGACGATAATACTTGATATTATGAATTTTTTGCAGTTTTAAGTATACAAACATAAGTCAAAAATCAATTACATGAAATCAATGACATATATTTTGTAATCAATGACCTATATACTCAGCAATAAAAAAATCTTAAAATGCAACTTATGAAATTAAAGTTTAATATTGCTCAGTTGGATTGGAATCAATGGATTTAAAATAGTATGTTTTACACCCAAAATTACAATTTATAGGTTTGTATAACTAACCATTAATGACTTAGGGTACGTTTCACTATGAAGAAGGGGCCTCAGTGGCTGAGTGGTCTAAGTAGTTACTACTGTAATCACTAGCCAGTCAACACTGAGGTTGTGAGTCAAACCCCGCTCGTGCGGGTGCACTCGACTCCAATCTTAATTGACTAGGATTGTCAGTTTTCCTTTCGAAGGTCGGTGGTTTTCTCCGGGCACTCCGGCTTCCTCCACCAATAAAAACTGGCCGCCACGAAATAGCCCAAAAGCGGTGCTTAAAAGTAGAGTTAAAAACACAAAAAATCAAAATCAAACAATGAAGAAAAACAGAAATAAAATAGCTTTTGTTTGGTTTTTTTTTCAGTTACTATAATACCCCAAGCAATAAATTTTCGTAGGGTATTATGTTTTGAGCAGTGCATCAGTTTGGCCTTAAAGACCCTCTGTCAAGCCTTTTCTTGTCAGCGCAGATCCTTAGAAACTTCACAAAATAATTTCATGAAACTTGAGATAATTAGGACATACTATGTAGATGTGCATATTAATAGAAAATTATGATTTATTTTTTTTCCTAGGAGTTATGCCCCTTCAATTTAGAATTTTGACCTTAATATACTACTGAAAATAGTTTTTCATCTCAATTTTTCTGAAATCACAATACAGAACTTCATGAAACCTTTTAGATATTTACAATGAAGATGTGGATATCAAAGGAAAATCATGATGATTTTGTTTGCCCAGTGATAATGTGGGGGAGTGGGGTATGTGAGCATTCTCTCAAAGGTTCTTACATTAGTTAAAGTTTAATTATATCTGAATTTGATCAAATAGAAATTTGAGTTAAATGGTAATCAAAAAACCCACTCATTGTTCTATGTGGATATCAAAGGAAAATCATGATGATTTTGTTTGCCCAGTGATAATGTGGGGGAGTGGGGTATGTGAGCATTCTCTCAAAGGTTCTTACATTAGTTAAAGTTTAATTATATCTGAATTTGATCAAATAGAAATTTGAGTTAAATGGTAATCAAAAAACCCACTCATTGTTCTATGTGGATATCAAAGGAAAATCATGATGATTTTGTTTGCCCAGTGATAATGTGGGGGAGTGGGGTATGTGAGCATTCTCTCAAAGGTTCTTACATTAGTTAAAGTTTAATTATATCTGAATTTGATCAAATAGAAATTTGAGTTAAATGGTAATCAAAAAACCCACTCATTGTTCTATGTCAATTTTTATTCTTAAGATAGTTTCATCTCCTAAATTATAAATTATGAATTTTTCTTATAATGTATTTTAGTTCAACCAGAAGAACCACAATGCCTGACACCACCGTCATCTGGGACGACTACATGTACAGTACAATCCACAGTGGACAATAGCCAGTTAATTCAAAACACTGCCTTTTTACAGAGCATTTTAAACCTTCAATCAATCACCAGGACACCTCAGTTAACCTCTGTTACTTATACAACACTCAAGAACAGCTTGACCATGGTTAAATACTGTATTGAAAATGAGTCCAATATTCCCCTATCGTCAATACAGAAAAATGTGCATGTGATAATGGGAGTGTTAGACTCTGAAAAGATTGTAGACTTGGTACAAGTAGTTGACTGTATTATAGATATTGTGATGTGTATACTGAATATGCTGCTGTACAAAGAACATGGAAGTATGGTAAGTATTTTGGTAACACACAGTGATCTATATGCTTTAAAATATCAAAATATTCATAGCTGTTGTGACCTTGATCTTAGACCTAGTGACCTTTAAAAAAGAATAAGTTTCTTATTAAATAGAAATTAACAACCAAGATTTTTTATAGATAAATCCTAAATTTACTTTTTCTTTCCAACTACAGTGATCTATGAGAACACAAAATCAAAAGAGTTCTTCCTCTAACCATGGAATGAAGTTGCTAAAACATATTCCCTAACAATGTGTAAATCTATTTTGTATAAAGATGTTGAATACATGAACACAATGAGTGAAAGGAAAAGGGACACAGTTTAAAAAGTATGAACTCGTAGTACACACGAAAAGCATGCAATATGAATAAAGATGTGGTATGATTGCCAATGAGAAAACTCTTCACAAGAGACCAAATGACATAGAAATTAACAACTATAGGTCACTGTACAGCCTTCAACAATGAGCAAAGTCCATGACAAATGCAAATCAATTCAAACGAGAAAACTAACAGCCTTATTAATGTACAAAAAAAAAACTAGAGGCTCTCAAGAGCCTGTGTCGCTCACCTGACTCTACTTTGGTTTTAGAAATCATGTAAAGATAGATAAAAATCATAACAGATACCCAAATAATGATTGAGGCCAAATTTGGTTTAATATTGGTCCCGTTATTTAATAAAATATCCTGGTGGCCATCTTAAACAGTAAATCGGCAACAAAGTAGCAAAACTTGGTCAGCACCTCATAAGGAACATTCATGCCATGTTTTGTTTCATTCCATTCAGTGGATCTCTAAAAGAAGACATTTGTATGTATTTCCCATAGGGTCCTATGTTAAACTAAGTCCCCTGCTGTTGGCCATCTTGGATGATGGACCGACTGCAAAGTAACATCACTTGGTCAGCACCTCATAAGGAACATTCATGCCATGTTTTGTTTCATTCCATTCAGTGGTTCTCTAAAAGAAGACATTTGTATGTATTTCCCATAGGGTCCTATGTTAAACTAAGTCAACCACTGGCGGCCATCATGGATGATGGATCGGCTGCAAAGTAACAACACTTGGTCAGCACCTCATAAGGAACATTCATGCCATGTTTGGTTTCATTCCATTCACTGGTTCTCTAAAAGAAGACATTTGTATGTATTTCCTATAGGGTCCTATGTTAAACTAAGTCCCCTGCTGTTGGCCATCTTGGATGATGGACCGACTGCAAAGTAACAACACTTGGTCAGCACCTCATAAGGAACATTCATGCCATGTTTTTTTTTGTTTCATTCCATTCAGTGGATCTCTAAAAGAAGACATTTGTATGTATTTCCCATAGGGTCCTATGTTAAACTAAGTCCCCCGCTGGCGGCCATCTAGGATAAAGGACCGACTGCAAAGTAACATCAATTGGTCAGCATCTCATAAGGAACATTCATGCCATGTTTTGTTTCATTCCATTCAGTGGTTCTCTAAAAGAAGACATTTGTATGTATTTCCCATAGGGTCCTATGTTAAACTAATTCCCCGCTGGCGGCCATCTTGGATGATGGAGTGACTGAAAAGTAACAACACTTGGTCAGCACCTCATAAGGAATATTCATGCCATGTTTGGTTTCGTTCCATTCACTGGTTCTCTAAAAGATGACATTTGTATGTATTTCCCATAGGGTCCTATGTTAAACTAAGTCCCCTGCTGGCGGCCATCTTGGATGATGGATCAGCTACAAAGTAACAACACTTGGTCAGCACCTCATAAGGAACATTCATGCCATGTTTGGTTTCATTCCATTCAGTGGTTCTCTAGAAGAAGTTCAAAATGTAAAAAGTTAACGACGAAGACGATGGACGACGACGGATGCCAAGTGATGAGAAAAGCTCACTTGGCACTTTGGGCCAGGTGAGCTAAAAACGAAAAACAAATACTGTGGATTCATTTATTTTCATGGATACCAATTTTCGTGAATTGAGGAAAACTTGCATTTTCGTGGATATTTGATTTTGAGGTTTTGCCTATCTCTGCATACAAAGCCCATAGAAATTTGTAATTCATTAAACATTTGAATTCGTGGATCACCTGTACCAAAGAAACCCACTCAAATTGGTATCCAACGATTAATAATGAATTCACAGTATGTATTACAGCAACAAACAACAACCACTTAATTACAGGCTCCTGAAGTTTACTACCATGTTATTTATTTTAAAGTCATTGTTTATAATAATAATGATATGATTTAACATTATGTATCATAAAAACAACTAATGATTTGTATATTTTTCAGGACCAAGCAGAATGTCTTGTGACACTTGTAACGTCTTTTTGTCACGTCAAATTATTTGAAAGAATTGTGAAGATGGCACTAACAGTAATTGAAGAATTTTCACATCACCTACGAAATGTACAACAAAGAAAAGAAGAAATTGATCTTTTGAAATACTGGAATTTATACAACGTTTTCAAAATTCTTGAAAATATTTTTAACAAGCATAGAGAGCATAGTTTGATGATGTCATCAGAATTTGTGGACAGGATAAATGAAAGACTTGATGAAACATTGCTCCATTTGACAGACCCTTTTCCATTGTTTGCACATGCTGTGTGGAAAATTCAGGGAATATTAAATCAAATTGTTTTAGAAAGTCAATCATAAAAATATTTGTGATTTTGTGTTTTTGTCATGTTTTAATATTATTTAACATATTATCAAGTGCTCTTTTCATGACTGAATTTTATTATGGGTTGTTGTCTGTATCTATTTTTTGGCTGTTCTGTAAGGTTTTTTGCTGTTTTAATGCCCCTAGACATTTAATATATGAGCTGCGTCGGATAGAAATAGACCTTATGCAAGTGCCTGTATACATGTACATGTATACAGGCCTTCAGCTGTTTTTGGCTCTTTGGTCGGGTTGTTATCTCTTTGACACATTCCCCATTTCCATTCTTAATTTTAAATGTATACAGTGTATAAGTTTAATAGATTTTTGAACATTTAAATACGAAATAAAAGATGAATTTTGGTCTGTTTTGTATGGTTCTTACTGTGGATTCATTTATTTTCGTGGGTATCAATTTTTGTGGATTGAGGAAAACTTGAATTTTCGTGGATATTTGATTTCGTGGTTTTGCAAATCTCTGCATACAAAGCCTATAGAAAATTTGTAATTCTTTGAACATTTGAATTCGTGGTTCACCTGAACCCACGAAACCCACGAAAATTGGTATCCAACGAATAATGATGAATCCACAGTATATCAACTCAATTTTCAAACAGCTACAGACTTTGCATAGAGATTTTTTAAACCCAAATTAAGTTAATAGATGGATTGATATTCATTTGCATAAGGTGGATTTCTATCACATGCAGCTCATATTAGACTTCTACACTTTAATTCTTCACTATACTTGTGAAGGTTAATCCAGAAACATGTGTTGTGTAATGTGTTGTGTAATGTGTTGTGTAATGAAAAATGTTCTGCTGTAAAGTGGATTATTTTTCGTAGAGCTTAAATTTTTGTGATTTTCACTGCCAAACCTGTAAGCAATGATTAAATTTAGCCTTTTCCCCACCCACCTTATTATATCCTCTTTCATTTTCAAATTTTATGTCAGGTGATCTTTCCCAAATTTGCACTTAATCAGGAAATAAGCTAAATATATATCCTTTGCAAAAATTTGCCCTTAAGAAGGCTCCTTTGTAGTAAGTAGTTGGTTATGATATCAAACTGACTTCTATAGGAAAGGCATAACTTTAATTTAATTTTATTAAGCCTTTAAATCATGAAAATTAGGTCAGATGGAGGGCACCTAAATCTTTAAATGCATTGATTATCACTAAGAAACTATCACATGAAATACCTAATTAGGGCCCCGCCGAATGGAGGACTCCCTATAGTGATCAGTCTGTCTGTCCGTCCGTCCATCCGTCCGTCTGTCCGTCCGTAACAAATAGTGTCTGCTCTATATCTAGAGAACCGTTATGATTTCAAAGTTTATACTTGACATGTATATTAACCAACACCAGAGGGTGTGTCATAATGTATGTACAACTTCCTGGGTCAAAGGTCAAGGTCAAAAACTTTGGTTTTAGTTGACAACCCCATGTCCTATGGTAAAGATCGTGTCCGCTCTATATCTTGAGAACCGTTATGATTTCAAAATTTATACTTGACATGTATATAAACCAACACCAGAGGGTGTGTCATAATTTATGTACAACTTCTTAGGTCAAAGGTCAAGGTCAAAAACTGGTTTCAGTTGACAACCCCATGTCCAATGATAAAGGTACAAATTTTTTACCACAAATTATTCACAGCAGGGCCCACAGAGATGGCTCCCATCTCAATGATATCTAGTTTGTACAACTGCTTTACATAATTTACTCATATATATATATATATATATATATATATATATATATATATAAACAAGTCTAAATTGAAAACAATGTTCAAACCTATGATTGCGTTGGATAAAAACCACAATTTTCAAAAAGACCAAATAAACGGATAAGATCTGTTTTGTTACATCTTGTGATCCGTTTATTTGGCAATCGCCAATGGCAGTCAGTAGGGTTTAAGAACATCAGTTGTTGGACCTGCTAGTCAAATGCGTTTTGTTAAAAATATACTTTTTCACTCATTTTGGTCTTTTGGAAAATGTTATATATATATATATATATATATAGCTCTTTATGTATTCAGCTTGCCTTTCAAGTTTTAGGGTTTGAATGTTCCTGTTGAAGGTAAATCCAGAAAAGTGTTATTTTCATTTTACACTGCCATCACTGCCAAGTTAATGATTAATTGTTGTTTGCTGAATGTCCAGTGTCAAATATTTCAGGCATAATCAGGAATAGTACGAGTTAATAAATCAAAAAAGTAATTTCTGCAAAATATGTTGACCAGGATCAGGGATTGGAAATTTAGACTCTCGTGAAAACAGGGTGTTTGATTTTTATAGAGGTAGACATTTTTGTCTAGCAACAGAACACCAATGGATCCATCAAAAAGTTGTTGCAATGGCTCTTTTTCTTGCAAAGATTGTGGCATTCTCCTGAGACATGTTATCTGTGTAAAATTAACTGATTTACAAAGGTAGACTTTAACAAGAGTGCACACACTGAAATGTCACGCCGGCATTACCGGTAGTTATGATTGGAATTAGGTTTACTACAAGTATCACATAAACTTATTTATGATCCATCATGAAAATGAGGTGAAGGTCAGATGAACCATGTCAGACAGACATGTACACCTTACAATCATTCCATACACCAAATACAGTGGTCTTATTGCTTATAGTATCTGGAAACAGACTTAAGCAGGGAAATTTAACATTGACCAATGAACCATGAAAATGAGGCCAAGGTTAGATGAACCTACCAGACAGACATGTACACCTTGCAATCATTCCATACAGCAAATATAGTTGACCCATTTCTTATAGTATCTGAGAAGAGGATCAAACTTGGAAACTTAACATTAACCAATGAATCATGAAAATGAGGTAAAGACAGATGATTCCGGCCAGACAGTCATGTACACCTTTCATTTCCAAATTAAGTTGATGTATTGCTTATAGAATTAGAAAAACAGACTAAAACACAAAACTTAACAATGACAAATGAACCATGAAATTGAGGCTGTCGGATGAAAACTGCCAGACTGACATGTACACCTTATAATCATTCCATACACCAAATATAGTTGACCTTTTGCTTAAAGTATCTGAGAAACGACCCTTATCACGCAACTTTATCCTTGATCACTGATCCATGAAATGAGGTTCCCTGTCTGATGGACCTTTCAAAGAACCCATATACCAAATATAGACAAGAGGCTGTCAGAGTGACAGCAAAACTGGATTTTTTAACGTTTATTTGTGTCCTGGCATTTTTCAATTTTTCAAGAACCACAACTCCTGAACGGTAAAAGTGACAATCATCAATATTGAACTTAACCTCTATTTTGTCATCAGTAACAACATATTAAAATTTGAAAAGCTTTGGTTCAACGGTTCATGAGTAAATGCACGGACACTGTTTGGCAGCCGCCCGCCCGCCATACATCCCCAAATCAATAACTGATTTTTCCTTCGGAAATCCAGTTAAAAATCACATGACAAATAAACTAAGAATTTTTTTAAGCAGATGCTGAACCATAAAAATGAGGTCAAGAATATCAATGGACATATGACAGACGGAAATTTCGTAACATAAGGCATCTGTATACTAGGTATGAAGCATCCAGGTCTTCTACCTTCTAAAATATAAAGCTTTATACAAATTTAGAGATAACTGCGCGGAGACAGGTAAACGGATATTTGCGACAGTTAAACTACCGATGGACGTCCACAAAGCTTCAAATACAATACAGTTGTCTCTATTCTTATGCAAAATAAACAAATCATTCAATTTTAGTCATCATCCTAGTGTAAATCTTCATTTAACAAAAATTCCTGTAATGATGTTATTTTTTTGGATCCTAAACTTGGTGACGTCATAGGTATGCTTCCGGCATCAAACCTAAACATCGGGCGTTTTCTGGCTTCTTGTCCGCTTCAGAATGTAATAAAATTTGATAAAAAGAAGATTTCTAGGTGCAAAATGTGAGTTTTTTGTCATATTATTGGAGAAATTACATGTCAATACATTCCGGAATTCAAAATGTCTGCTTTCTTAGTTACAGACAGGGAGATAGAGAATTTTACGCATATTGTCATCCATACAGAACCATTGATACAAAATAATTGCAATAGTTTGTGCCACCGCTGCCGGATAATAATCCTTATGTCTTGCATTCTGTGAATTGTTACAGGCAAGACAAAAATTAAGAGATATGGTATGATTGCCAATGAGACAACTATCCACTAGTATATCACATTTCAATGTTCAGTGAACAACAAAATATGGATCAAAACCCTCATTTGGGCATTCATTTTAAATGTTTTGCTTCATAATGAACATATGTACTAAGTTCCAAGTTGATGTGACCACAAATTACCTCAATCAAAAACTTTTAAATATTGCCCTATACTATTGTAGGTGTTGCATATAAAAAATAAGGTGATATGGCATAATTACAATGAGACAACTTTCTACCTAAGGACAAGGATGTAAACATCTAAAGGGCACCATACTTTTGGATCATTTGACCTCTAGCTGTCTTTTCTAGTTTCTTTCGGGTTGCTGTTTCATTTATGTACATACACATCTCATCTCATTTTATTCACATTTGGAAAAAAATGTTCAACAAAAACCAACATTACATTATATTTTTGTTTCAAAATTTTTCAGAATTGTTACAAAATCACAATTATAACAAAATTCTTTCAACAAGTTTTTATTTTAATTATTTAAAACATAAGAAATGTACAAATATTAAAAAAAAAAGTTGTCTTAAATAAACAGACATAATAAAGTATAAAAATTCATTTAATTATCACAATCTACATGGAAAAAACATTTAATAATGCTTGAACAAATTAAGATTTTATCAGAGTTATTCCACTGAAATAAAATTTTGGATGGTAACAACTGGGAATGGGTCAAGGTCATTTATATTTTCGTATTTCCATTTGATATATATATATGCCAAATTACTCAAACAAAGTATGTTGGTTGTCAGGAGATTATGGAAGCCCCTTCCTACATCCCATATCCCAACATTTAAATGGAACAGCACTAAAAAAAAATCTCACTTGAGAAAATTGATATTTTCAGTTGTTTAATAAAAGATATCAACAACATTTTTAAGACTTTAAAATATTATTCCCTAAAAAGAAATATTTGAAATTCATTGTGGGTGCTTGATTAGAAGGTTCTTTCCTTTTCTCATGAAAATAAGAACATAAAATTAAATAAAAATGTCTGAGGTAGCCTCTTTTAAGCAACTTGGGGAAAAGGTAATAACAAATAAAAAATGTTTGAATGGCATTAAAATTTGATCATATAACTCCTAGCCTTGGAAGGTGGTATGAGGTTATTAATAAATCCTGCTAACATGATCATAAAAAAGAAAGGAGGAAAAAATAGATTTTCAAAAATGTACATATAACTATTTGTTCATATTACAATAAACAACTGATATCAATGGTAACTATCAAACATAGCAGCATTATTGGACAGTCAAATATTGCTTACATTGTCATCGCCACTTCTAGAAAATATTGGAATTTCATGGGGGCAGTATTTATGTCGCTGACAACTCTTTCCCTTGAAGGAAGCTGCTCCAGTAAGACTTTATTAAATATCTATTCAGGGGAAAAATGCAGTTTATTAAGGATGTTCGCTACTCTACTTCAAAATAAAAAGCTTTTTAAGAGACTGTTATAAATTGATAGTATATAAACAGAGGAACTAAAACAGCAGAAAAAAATTAAGTGTCCGTGTGCTTGTTTTCGAGATATAATTTGGCGGGAAATAATTCTCTCTAGATTTTTCATACGTTTAACATTGTCCGCTTTTCTCTTTTAAAAACTATGAAAAAATAACAAAGATTTTCAAATATGGCTTTTAAAACTATATGTAATAAAATTATGAAAAAAAAGTAGGGGTTAGTGGACAAAATTTTTTAATGGCAAAACATGGATAAAACCAAAGGATTCCGAAAATATGGCAAAAATTCAAAAACAAAAGGAGCGAACATCCTTAATATGCTTCCATGACTCCTAAAAACTTTCACTTCACATATATCTACTTTCTAAAACAATGTAAATTAGTGTTGACAAACATATACTTGATAAACACAAATTGTTAACTATTCTAACACTCTATTTTTGCAAATACTATAAACTGAACACATCTTCATCACTATTTTACTATATAGCAACATGAAACTATAAATGACTTTCAACTTTTTTTCAATGCTTTAAGTTTTAAAAAACGAATATGCATGTACATGTATGTGAATGAGTATATAATCAAAACACTGTTACAAAATAACACACACTGGCCTTACATCTGATGCAATACCATTAAAGATTATATGTTATACAAACAAGTGAAAAATTACATTTATTCATTTTTGACAATTTTTATCATTTATTGGAAGTCTCTCAACTCTTGCATATTGATTCGCAATGATAAAATAAATGGAAATTATGTATTGCAAATGAAAATTGTAAGTACATTTAATTTCACAATTTATGCAACATCAATTAATGAAATTTCAGTAATTGCCTTTTATATGCGGTAAACATTTAAATGTAACTTTTTATTTTGGGAAACCTGTACTGTCGCAATTTTTTGCAATAATAAAAACATCACAAAATAATTATTTCTTCACTCAGATTCTAAGCTGTTTCATATTTTAGAGTCGACTGTTGATTTTTTTTTATCAACAGTATATGTTGAAATTAAATTTTTATATACAATTTCCTTTCTATTTTTTTTTTTTTTTTATTTGCATCTTCAGCAAAGAGTCTTTGCCAGAAGTTGTCACACTAAAATGACATAATGTTTTGTAGATTATTGACAAAGAATGATAAAATTTAACCTATCAAATTACCATTAAAAAACTAATAGATAAACAAATTCTTCAACTACACCCAAATTTTGCACCTTTTTCTATTCAGCGGTAGAATTTTTTTTGTTTACATTAAATCAAATATGCAGTCTATGAAAATAAGAAAAAAAGGATGGAAAGTAATTTTTCAGTGAAAAAGTTGTGTAATGTTGAATGGTAAGGTAATGGGAAATAACTTTGTTTTAACAGTGTGTGATAGAACTCCAATGATGAAATACATATATACATTTTGTCTTGGCATTTAATGTTTGTTTTGACGAATTAATTTTGTTTTTGTCAATCTTAAAATGTATTAAAATGTTTAAAGGACTAGCCTGTCATTTCTTATTTTTTTCTGGAAAATAAAACCAGAAACAAATTTGAGAGTACCATCCACTTAAAAAAAAAGAGAAGAAAATCACAATGTACGACGTCGATGAAATGTTATTCATAAAATATCATGGAAATGTGTAATTACATCACATATACTGTGGATTCAATGTTATTATTCTTTAAGTACTACTTTAGTGGATTTAGTGGGATGAGGTGCAGAATTTAAAATAACAAAATGGAATTTAGATAACACATATTTATCTTCTATAGGCTTGTATACATAATTTGTAAAAACATGAAATCAAATATTCAGAAAACTACAATTTCTACTATATCCATGAACAGAGATGAAAACAAATGAATCCACAGTATCAAAATATATGGTAAATTCAGAGGTTTTTATTAATGCAAATTATGCGACTGGATGAGTGTCGCAATAATAAGAACTCGCATTATGATATCTGATGCATATATATTTATGAAGATTTTTCTGAGATTGCAATAATAAATCTCGCATTAGTGGCCATTCTTCAAAAATTGCAATAATAAATACATGCAATAATTTCTGAATTTACAGTATGGTGAATGACTAACTAAAATTCATGCTGCTCATATACCACTTTCATTTACAAAACCTTGCAAGGAAAACATGTTACCCCTTACATACAGAATACACAAGAATTCAAAAATTAAAATAAGTCTACAATCATGACAACTTTTTGGATGGAAGGAATATAACTAAATGCTTACTTAACAGTTTACAATGAGGCAAAAATATAAAGATATTGACAATTTCTATTAAAAGTAATTGTTCTTTCCAAGAAATGCCAAACATAACAATTTAAAAGCTTTATAGATATTCAATCCTGAGATTCATTTGATTTAAATATTGTCCAAGTGGCAAAAATCTGAATATGGTAAAAAGATTTCAGCTCGTCAGTAATTTTTGAAAAATTTGTACATAAGGGAGATAATCAAAATATTTTTCAAAGCACATGGCCTGTCAAATGCACTGAAGCATTTAAAACTTTGTATCAATTTTCTATTTTAATAATAATGGAAGCTTGAAAAGAAAATCTGAATAGTTATAACATTTAAAAATTTAATTTTAACCATTAATTTTGTAATCACTGATGCTTGACACAAAATCCCCAAAACCAAAAGACATTTTTGAAATTGAAGTTGGCACTAAGAATATGAAATGAAGAAAAATCATTCTGACAGAGACTAAATTATGGATATGTAACTTTTGTTCAAGACTTGCAAGCAAGTCAGTGAATTTGATTTACAGATTCATGTCTTGAAACTTGTCTTCTTTTTAATGAAATCTGTATTTTCTGGCAGGTTTGAGGTTGATATAAGTTTTCTTCATGTCTTCTGAATTTTCCTTCTTAATCTCAGTAAATTTTTCGCCTTTTGTGCTGACAACTTTATTGTCCAAATATCGTACAAGTTTCTTTGATTCCTGTAAATAAAAAAAATAAATAAACATAGGAAGAAAGATTACTGGAATAAGATAACTGGTAGTAAAAGAGAGCAGCTCTATTTAGGAAATGAAATGAATTACTCTACAATAAAAAAAACCTTCCAAGCTATGTCATGCAAAGTAAATTTTCTATCGCTATAAGACTTTAACAAAAAATTCCATGCTGAGTGAGAACAACAAAAATCCAAAGTAATTTCAAACCAGAAGTGGCTGCCCAACAGCTTTGAATATCACATTATTGTACAATCTAACATTACAAAATTTCAAACCAAATATTCAACCAATCCCAATGCAGAATTTGAGTAATCCCTTACAGAAAACAACATGCATGCTCATGTGGTATGTGTTTTGCTCATTGTTGAAGGGCGGTAAGGTGACTTATAGTTGTTAACTTCTATGTCATTTGGTCTCTGGTGGAGATTTGTTTCATTGGCAATCATACCACATCTTATTATTTTTATATCAGTGGATATATTAAAATGCAAAGTATTGTCAAATAGGAAGTTACTATTTAATGGATCTGAAAAGCAATTCAAGGCCAAATATGCAATCTTTCCATACTACAGAAACTGAGTATTATGTGATGAAAGTAATGGACCAAGACTAGTATAAAATCTAAGATGGACCAAGACTAGTATAAAATCTAAGAATAAACATATCTTACTACTGTTATGCAACAAGTATTCATCACAAATTTCATATTTTGAAGGCATTTATGGTTGAATTTTAACAAAAAATATGTGTTGAGAGTCAAAGAATGGTCCGAAGTATATTTCTTCATGATTTTTTTTTCCAGTTTGTTTTTGCTTTCTCCTGACGTGAATATGTACCATATTTTTTTACAAATTGATTTGGTTGAGATAATTAGAGAATTTCATACAAAAACAATACACCTTATCGCTATTTGTCTGCCATTACTGGACATCACAAAAGTTCCCGTAAAATTTTGATGTCATAATAGAAAATATCTGACGCCACAATGGAAAAGTGATTATTGTATGACGTCAAAAGTTCAAGCGAGACAGATTCTCGGGTCAAGCGGGAATAGCGATAAGGTGTATACTTGTGTCTATATCACCAAAATATGCTTTCCAATAAAAATATACCCAAATAAACAAATAAACCTGCGACAGTTCTGCTCCTATAGGAAACCAAAAATGACATCACGATATTTTTTAATAAAATGCTCCGCAGGGCGCAGTTTGATACGACCGCAGAGGTCGAACCCTGAACAGTTGGGGCAAGTATGGACACAACATTCAAGCTTGATACAGCTTTGCATTTGGATTGTGATTAAATATTTGACACAGCATAGGTTTCTGACACAGAATGAATGTGGTCTAAGAACTTAAAAAATTTAAATTGGACATTCACCTATTATGGTCCAATATCCAAAATCTAAATACATGGTTAGATTCAGCATATCAAAGAACCCCAAGAATTCAATTTTTTATGAAATCAAACAAAGTTTAATTTTGGACCCTTTTGACCTCAATGTGGACAAAGTTGATAACGGGGCCCAAAAATCAAAAATCTAAATACATGGTTAGATTCAGCATATCAAAGAACCCCATATATTCAATTTTTGTTGAAATCAAACAAAGTTTAATTTTTGACCTCGATTTGGACCAACTTGAAAACTGGGCCCATAATCAAAAATCTAAATACATGTTTAGATTTAGCATATCAAAGAACCCTAAGAATTCTATTTTTGTTAAAATCAAACTAAGTTTAATTTTGGACCCTTTGGACCTTATTATGTAGACCAATTTGAAAACGGTACCAAAAATTAAAAATCTAAATACACGGTTAGATGCGGCATATCAAAGAACCCCAATAATTCAATTTTTGATGAAATCAAACAAACTTTAATTTTGGACCCTTTGGACCTCAATGTGGACCAATTTTAAAACAGGGCCCAAAATCCAAAAACTAAATACATGGTTAGATTCTGCATATTTAAGAACCCCAAGAATTCAAGAATAAAACCCCATTGAAATTGGTCAAGAAATAAGCAATTTATAGGAAGTATCTTCTTTTGCACAACACTGTGCAATTAAATATTTCTTGCTATTGCGCAATACTGTACAATTGACAATTTCTTGCTATTGCACAATATTGTGCTATTGGATATTTCTTGCTATTGCGCAATACTGTGCAATTGAAGATTTCTTGCTATTGCGCAATACTGTGCAATTGAAGATTTCTTGCTATTGTGTAATACTGTGCAATTGAAAATTTCTTGCTATTGCACAATACTTATTATATAATAATTTACACATCCTGTTTGGTGTGTATCTCCTACCATACCATTATTATTTGCTTTTAAATATAAATCAGAAATAACCAACTTAAAATGGAAAATTTTAAAAGAAAAAAAAAAGGAAAAAAAGAAAAAAAAGGAAAAATAAAAAAATCCTCCCCCCCCAAATTTTTTGAACCCCCTTATGATTCTTCACCCCCAAACTCAATCCCAGCCTTCCCTTTGTGGTATGGTACCTTGCAGTACAATTTCAGAGAGATCCATACACTTGAACACAAGTTATTGTCTGGAAACTAGAAAAATGTGTTTTTTGACCCCTTTTTGGCCCCAAATTCCGAAACGTTTAGGGCAATTACCCCCAAACTCAAACCCAGCTTTCCCTTTGTGATATGGAACCTTGTAGTACAATTTCAGAAAGATCCATACACTTACACACAAGTTATTGTCCTGGATCTAGAAAAATGCTTGTTTTTTGCCCCTTTTTGGCCCCTAATTCCTAAAATATTGAGGCAATTACCCCCATCATCAATCCCAGCCTTCCCTTTGTGGTATGGTACCTTGCAGTACAATTTCAGAGAGATCCATACACTTGAACATTAGTTATTGTCTGGAAACTAGAAAAATGCTTATTTTTGGCCCCTTTTTGGCCCCCAATTCCTAAACGTTTCGGCAATTACCCCCAAACTCAATTCCAGCTTTCCCTTTGCGATATGGAACCTTGTAGTACAATTTCAGAAAGATCCATATACTTACACACAAGTTATTGTCATGAAACTAGAAAAATGCTTATTTTTTGCCCCTAATTCCTAAAATTTTGAGGCAATTACCCCCAAAATCAATCCTAGCATTCCCTTTGTGACATGGAACCTTGTAGTACAATTTCAGAAAGATCCATACACTTACACACAAGTTATTGTCCTGGATCTAGAAAAATGCTTGTTTTTTGCCCCTTTTTGGCCCCTAATTCCTAAAATATTGAGGCAATTACCCCCATCATCAATCCCAGCCTTCCCTTTGTGGTATGGTACCTTGCAGTACAATTTCAGAGAGATCCATACACTTGAACATTAGTTATTGTCTGGAAACTAGAAAAATGCTTATTTTTGGCCCCTTTTTGGCCCCCAATTCCTAAACGTTTCGGCAATTACCCCCAAACTCAATTCCAGCTTTCCCTTTGCGATATGGAACCTTGTAGTACAATTTCAGAAAGATCCATATACTTACACACAAGTTATTGTCATGAAACTAGAAAAATGCTTATTTTTTGCCCCTAATTCCTAAAATTTTGAGGCAATTACCCCCAAAATCAATCCTAGCATTCCTTTTGTGATATGGAACCTTGTGGTACAATGTCAGAGAGATCCATACACTAACACACAAGTTATGTCTGGAAGTTACAAAAATGCTTATTTTTGGCCCCTTTTTGGCCCCTAATTCCTTTACTGTTGGTACCATGACCCCCAAAATCCATCCCAACTTTCCTTTTGTGGTATTGTACCTTGTGGTAAAATTTCATAGAGATCCATTCACTTAAACTAAAGTTAGAGTGCGAAAACCAATGTGTCTTCGGACGACGACGCCAACGTCATACCAATATACAACCACAAAAATTTTTTTGCGGTCGTATAAAAATTTAGTTCTACAAGAAGAATATAGAAAGGAATTCTTATTGCATAACTCTATATCCAGAAAAATATTGTTAGTATCTGTTCACAGTTAAACTGATTTTACATTAAAAATATTCTCCTTAGTAATAATCTAGATATTTTGCTTTTATTTTTGTGCAGTTTGTTTGCTGTCTTATTGGGTTTTTCTTTTTTTTTTGTTCCATTCATGTTTCATGAATTCCTGCCACCATGATAAGGCCAGGGTTTTTTAATTTGTTGGTTTACGGATTTTTCACATGAAAAAGTTGGGTCGGTTGGTCGGAAAAAAAGAAAAAAAATATCTTTCAAGACATAAATATGTAAATAAATAAATATATATTTCACCTTACTAACAATATGTTTGGTATGCTATTTTGTCATCATTTCTTAAATTTTAGTTCCAAATATTATTGCTCAGCTGTTTTAAACATAAAATGCATGCCATCGTCATACAATTTCCAAAAAGGGGGAATACGTGTGTATGTCCACGGACAAAGATGAAATTAAATCGTCATTTCACGAACAAGAAAAAACAGATCCACGTTGCTTTTTATCAAATTTCGGGAAACATGGTGAATAATGATCTTCAAGCACGAAAAACTAATAAATATAAATTTCAAACACATTGTATGTAAATAAGCGTTACCATCCGTGTCAAAAACGAAATAGACTCGTCCACTGGAAAGACAAGGATATCAGATTCATCAGTTGTCATGCATTCCGGTTTTTGATATCCAAATGGATGAACTTTTTTTTAATATCTATGAAACAAGAAAATTCCAAATTGTTTGTGAATATCTATTACTTTAACTTGACGTCTTTCATGTTTGGACAGGTCCATTTCATCTATGAGATGATACATCTTACGGAATTATGACAAAAAAGGAAAACGAACTTATTGTAAAGGGTTTTAAACACAGGTTTCACTCCGCAAAATTATTTGCGCAAACAACATTTCAAGGTCAGTTATGATTGATCTGTCTATTTTTAGATACGTAAACATACGGATTAATTTTGCAACACAATGTGTAATCAATTCTGTTAATGTTCAATGCATTTAATTTCATAAAATAGAATATTTTTATTTATATTTTATGGATAATGAATTTGTTAGGGTCGCCAGGAATAAAAAAGCATGAAATGTCAATTTTATTTTTATTCTGCAAATCAGAAAAATAGGGTCAGCTGATCCGTAAACCAACAAAAACCCCTGGCCTAAACAAACATCCATTGCTCTAAAAACATAACTTATAATCTCACCTTTTTTTGAAAAGTTGGAGTATGTGTTTTCTTATCAGCATCTGTGTCTACATATGAAAACCTGCAAGTACACCATATAACAATGGATTGATTAATTGGTGTTTAACGCCACTTTCAGCACTATTGTGCTATTTTGTGGCAGTCAGTTTTTATTGGTGGAGGAAGCCAGTGTGCCCAAAGAGAACCACCGACCTTTGGTAGGAAAACTGATAATCCTAGTTACTGTGGATTCATTTATTTTCGTGGGTATCAATTTTCGTGGATAGAGAAAAAAAGACGTTTCGTGGTATATGTAAATTCGTGGATCGCTGATTACAACAAAAAAATAAATTCAGATACGTAATTCGTGGATTTCTTTTTGATTTAGGAGATCACATAACCTCCTTGGTTTGATCAATAATAACCCCCAAAAAAAAGAAGGAATTCATTGAACAAGTTTTGAATTGTCAAAATCCTCGCTTGGTCATTCTAGGTTAAAGTGTTCATTGAAAACTTCTACTACAATAATGGACAGAGACAACTTATTATTTGTTTGTTTTACAATTTATAAATTCTTGTCGAAATTTTATAAGGCATCAAAAACTCTATGATTGAAAGCTCATTTCCCTAATCACGATATAATAAACAGTCATATAAGTAAAAGGTGTGAAAATAAATGTTCCTGTCATAAACAATATTACCTACGGGCAATATACCTGTACTTAATCCTATTGATTTTTATTCACCAGTAAACCAAACTATGACACGGTAATTACCAAATTTTCCATGAACAGTTTTAATAAATTTTAAAAAGTAAATTATCACTGATATTTAATATATTTATTATTGATTTAATCAAAATACTTGTATCTTCTTTCAATAAAAACAAGTGTTATGTTAACATGTTAATCGCTAGTCAACATTATACTAGAACTGCATAACATAACCGGAAATAAACATCCGACTCCATACACATTTCTCGGGAATATTCTTCGTTGAATTCTTAAATTCGTGGTTCGCTGTGACCCACGAAACCCACGAAAATTGGTATACCACGAATAAAAATGAATCCACAGTAATTAAGATTGAAGTCGAGCGCACCTGCCACATGTGGGATTTTGAATTCACAACCCCAGTGTTGACAGGCTAGTGATATAGTAGTTCAACTACTTAGACCACTCAGCCACCGAGGCCCCATTCATAAAACAATGGATGCCAAGTTTTTGTGAATTGTAAATGAAACCATTTTTTCAAATGCTCTATTATTAAAGGCTTGAAATTTGGTCCTGTACAACTGGCATTTTATTGATATTACAGTGTGTACTAGCAAAGCGTCAAAAGAAAAATTCATACTATAACTGTATGTTAATGTACATATCAATAACTGAATTTATTAATGGTATATATTTTTCATCTATTTGCATTTGTTTGTAGAAAATACACAAACCTTAAATCTATTTTCTGCATTTTTTCATCAAAAGTTAATAAACCTTATACAGTGTGCATGTTTATACTGTCCAGGCAGAATGGGTACATTAAATCATGATTTTTTAATGTTAAAAGTACTGTAAAACAACTTATTTGATCAAATATATTTTCATGTTAGTCCCTTTCTATTTGACTTCATAGTGAACATTATTATGATTATAAACTTCTTTTGAAGTAGTCATAAAATAATTGATTGATTGGTCATGTTTAAATTGGTTTGTTTTATGTCAAGTGGCAAATATTTCATGCCAAATTCAGGAAAAGAGCAAATTTACAATTACGACAATAGGTTCTGCAAGATAAATGACCAGGAATTTGAACTGCCACTGGAAAATGAGGGTACGTTGAATAAGGGCAGAAATTATGCCTTGCAACTGGCCACATGTAGACATTTACAAAGGTTCTTCAATGAGCAGGAGTTTAGCCCTCTTTCTTCTTCAGGCATAGAATTTCATGTCAACATTCAGAAAGGACATTGCTGCGTATTTATACACTCTGCACAGCGAAACAATCACCCCATTTTGGCAAAGGTTTGACTGGTCACTCAGTTCGAAAGTATACTGGTATAATAACCATGAAGATAATACTTTTATTATATATGCAAATTACCTGCTGATGATATGACTCTTGACTTTGTTGTCATCAAGCACCATGTCTTTCTTTTTCTTACTGTTATTCTATAAATAAAAGGTCATCATTACTACAAATATAAAAATAAGGTGATGTTGTATGATTGTCAACAGGAAAATTATCCACCAGAGTTCAAATGATGTAGAAATAAGCAATTATAGTTCACTGTATGGCCTTCAACAATAAAGAAAAAACCCAGACCATGAATATAGTCAGCTATAAAAGGCCCTGATAAGAAAAATGTGAAACAATTCAAATAAACTGTTATCACAGAGATATGTCTCGCCTTTCTGTAATTTTGATAATGCAAATGTTGAAATTAAAATAGCAATACTTTAACATGTAAGTTATGCAAATATTCAAAGTCGATAGACCATGACTGAAGGTACATGGCTAAACAATCTCCATGGAAATAAGATGTGCCAATGCTAATACAACTGCATACCAAATACCATTGACTTATTATGTCGTTCCATTTAAACAAACCTAAACACAAACATTAAATTGTAAACTATGTAAAAGTTTCAAAGTCAATGAACCATGATGAGGGGGTGGGGCTATATAATCTCCATGGAAACAATACTCACAAATACCAATAAATTTGCATACCAAATATCATTGACCTAACATTGGCAGTTCATCCTAAACTGATCTGATCACAAACTAATACATGTAAACTATGCAAAAATTTCAAAGTCAATAGACCATGACTGAGGGGGTGTGGCCAAAAATTCTTCCTGGAAATGAGATGTGCTAATGCTTATTTAACTGCATACCAAATATCATTGGCCTACCACTAATGGTTCCCTATGAACTGACCTAATCACAAACTAATACATGTAAACTAAGCAAAAGTTTCAAAGTCAATAGACCATGACTGAGGGGGCAGGGCCAAACAATCTCCAAGGAAATGAGATGTGCCAATGCTAATACAACTGCATACCAAATATTATTGACCTACCACTTGTGGTTCACCATAAACTAGACCTAATCACAAACTAATACAGTGTTGACGCCGCCGCCAACAGCATACCTATGTCTCGCTTTTTGACTCCGTCAAGGCGAGACAACTAGATGACTAATGGCCTATAATTTATAACAATTCAATTTCTTTAAACAAATATGACAGACATGAACAAAGGACAACCACTGTATAATAAGCTCCTGACTTGGGGCATGCACATAAAGAATGTGGCTGGGTTAAACATTTTTTTGAGCACTAACCCTCCCCTTACCTGGGACAGTGGTGTAACAGCACAACATATTGATATTCTTACCAACCCTTCCCAAAATTCATGGTACTGACTGTAAACAATCACAGTACATAATTTACACATTTATGCTACCATAGATTATCAAATGTCTGAGGTATAATCAATTGTAGTGCATTGTCACGACTGTATTATTTAGATTCTTCCCAACCCTTCCCATAATTCCATTTAAACAACATGTCACATGACTTACAGATGATACTATACAATCTCCAATCTCCTGTCTGTGTATAATCAATTGTGCTGCACTGTCAGGGTCACCATTACTAAGTGCCAGACAATGGGATATTTCTAAAGAACAGGCTGTGGGGAACATCTCCAACAACATAGTGACTAGCTCTGTATCATCTTCAGTGTCCTCTGGAAAGGATTCCTACAGATAAAAAAAATAAATTTATTTATATAAATAATATCCTTTTAGTCTGAAAATATGTGATCAATCGCAAAGTTAATTATAGAATAACTAATCGAAGAATTCAAATAGAGAAAAATATTCAACGAGTGACCGAACAACACATTAATTCACGAATGAGCATAGCGCATGAGTTAATTATCAGTGTTGTTCGGTCACGAGTTGAATATTTTTCGATATTTCTAATCTTTGATTAGTTATTCTTTTTATTACATTGGCTAATGGCTTTTTTAATATAATTTATGTAGAAAATTTAAGGAACTATATCTTTTTTCTACGCATTCACAATTTGTTTTGATCCGACGTTATCGACGTCTTGACAACGTCTATTGTTGTATGATCAGAGAGTGAAATAACCACGTTTATTTCACATGTGAAATTATCGGTTTTTATTTGACTGGGAAATCAATGTAATTCATTGCTACCAATGTAATAATTAACATTTAACCAAATTTATTTTGCTCTTAAGATAAAACCCCAAATGAAGTTGATTCAAATACATCATTAATATAGTTCACCTATTGGAGTTTACATCCATGTATTAATGCAGTGATTCATTGTGTTTGTGTCTTATTCAAATTACTTTAAATCTTACGGTTTGGTTTTATGATATCTGTTGTTTTAAACATTTATATCATTGGCATTCCAAACCTTTGGCTAAAAGTATTTGTGGTCAATGTTTATCCAGAAAAGTGCCTGGAACTCAGCACATTTTAAAAACTTTTTGATGCAAGAACATACCATCTGTATTTTGGTAGAAGATTTTAATTTTAGCTTGATATACCTTGTTGACATTTAGAATCGGAAAGATGAACACTGAAACTATAAGATTCATAGAAATAAATGTAGACTGCTCTTTCAATAGTTTTTGGTACAAAATAAATTAAGTTGTAGTTAGTTTCATCAGCTGTAAGGTAGGAGGGCAAAATGGTTGATTTTCTTATTTGGCTAACCAAATTATAATATGTGAGATCGTTTCTAGATTGCGTTGATTTATAAAGGTCCATAAAGAATTAATCAAATGAAAATTGTTTAGAAAACAAGTTTTTGAAAGTTTAGAGGTCAATATAGCATGTTGAATTTGGTTGGTTAGTGGAATTTGTGCATGCTGATCTCTAGCATGGAACTGGTTCATCCATTGAAAGCTATCAATACTTGCAAAGACCAATAACCGTTTTAACATTCTCAAGATCAGTTTTATCTGGATTCACATTGTTTTCTAGAAATATTCATAGTTTAAATGCTAAAACCACAGACTAACTTTGTGAAATTATTTTAACTACTGAAACGTAGTATAATTTTTCCATTTTTTATTTTTACCACATTTCCATTGACTTCTGTGCTATCTATCAGAGGTAATGCTGTAGCTCCTATAATATCAGTTACCGGACTACTTGGTTCTGATGTGTTGTCTACTGGAATGTAAGGACTATCTGCAAGACAAAGGATCATTGAAAGTTGAATGTAGTAAGATTTTTACCAAGGTCAAAAACAGTTTGTCTAAAGTGGCATTTCCAAAAGGTCTACCGTACACATGGTTTTGCAATGTCAAACTCTATTTTATACTACTACCTTATGGCCTTTCTAATTTTTTTTAATTAATCATAATATAAGAAAGATTTCAAAGGCAGATTCATTTCATATTGCTTCAATTCAAATTTCTTAAAATTCAAAAACACTTTTGTAATTCTCATTTCCCATGGAATCTTAAGACCACTATATCAAGATCTTGTTATTTAAGAATTTAAGAATGCTAATCAAGATCCAGTAATTCTTGTTTCCAAAGTAGTGTAAAAACACTTATTTTGAGCTTATACAATAGCTTGTAATTCCCAATTCACTTGCTACCATAACAATATAAAATACCTTTGAATGTCATTGAGAAAAGTCTTTCATCTTCAATACAACTTGATAATATTTTGTGAAACTTTTGGTATAAAATGAGATATATTAAATAATATGGAGATTACCTTCATTTTCCTTTGCTAATTCTGTAGACAAGGAAAACATCCACTCACAAACTTCTACACTGTAAAATAAAGTACAGGTACTGGTAATTCATTATTCAAATTCCAACAGAAACAATTCTAAAATCATTAAAATATTTTCTTTATAAAAATAAGATTTGGTATTAAAGATTGCCATTAAGACAGGTATCCACCACCAGAGACCTAATGATGTAGAAGTACCGGTAAGCAACTTTAGGTCACCCTACAGTCCAGAAAGTATTATGTTTCACCTTCTAGAAATGGAACACACATGCATCCATGAGCATTTTTTTTAATTTTAAATCTCTATACTTTTCCTTTAATCAGTCCATGATTGATTGACTGTAGTTTGCTTAATGTCCTATGGCAATTATTAGATGCAGTTTTAGAACAAGAATAAAACAAACTGAACTGTGGGGTACTGCTCCCTTATAATACCCCTGCTTAAGTGTTTGGTAAATTAGAATTTGATAAGCAATGTTTGAGAAAATGCATTACACAGTGCAGATGAAAAATTTTGGTTTAATATTAAATGTGCTATTTATTATCTCCCTTAACTCATAATGTGCTATTAATTATCTCCCTTTAAATTACCTGTCAATATTACAGAATCCAGGAATGTATGCATCTATCATCTCTGTAAACTGGTCCACATCAATATTCTCCTCAGCATTCTGGTCATCTCCTAAATCCTCCAAGATACTTATGACATAACTCAACACTATCTCATCAACAGCACTAAATGTAAAACAAAATAAACATATGGTGGTGCAAAGAGAAAAAAAAGAAAAGAAATGTCAACTCTAGGATATTGGTGGATGAATTCAAATTTCTCTTTACAAAATTTTAGACGATAGATAGATTTAATTTAACCACTTTCGGAGAAAATATAGATTTCTCTTTCATATTAACAGTCAAGAGTCTAACTTGAATAAGTTATTAGAGAAAAATAACATACATGTGTTATTACAGATACTTTCTCTTAATCTGTAGTAACATATGTTTGTTATCAGTTAAATGTACCATAAAATTTTTTATTTTCAGTGGGCACTTGGGAATTCTTGAAACTTGCACAGTAACTTAATACATAACCTTGAAAACTAATTTTCTAATTCAATTAATACATTTTTGATCAACCATGGTGAATCAATGAGACAAGGCTTTTAAGTGATAACTTTGCTGTAATAACAAGGCTTAGTTATTACAGGCATTTAACTTATTACATGAGTAACTTGGGAATGACTAGGAAGGTTGCGCAGAACCTCATTACATGCTCTTATCATTATTTATTACAATAAATTAAAATACATTGTGATATATGTAGGAGAAAAGGCTTTGAAGAGATGTAGAGAAGCTGTAATTACACCCTTTAGTTATTACAGGTATAATTTATCTGTAATAACAAGGGTGTGTTATGCATGATTGGCAAACTATGGGCTGTTATATCTTTCTAAAGTTTAATATACATAAAGACAATTATAATATCAATAGAACTAGTACACAATTTAACAAAATAAAGGATGTATAATGGCCCTTTGAAACATGTAACATACATATGTTATCACAGATTTTTGATTTTTTAGCCCTCAATAACAAATGTATGTTATTTTTCTCTAATAACTTATTTAAGTTAGACCCTTGACTGATTAAATTTACACACAGACAGTACAATTCACACAATTCAATTTGAAATAACTATGAAAATGATAATAAGACTTATAATTTTCACAGTCAGAAGCACATGACAATGCTAAATACAAGTACTTACTCAATACTATCATGTAAATCATGCTTCTTCAGAAACTTTGACATGTAATCTTTTACCAGTGTTTCCCTGTCTGTAGCCATCCAGTCATATGTGTAACTTGTAAGATAAATGGAAAATTCAACCTGAAAAAAATATAAGGGCCTGGATAAGCATGATAAGTAATGCATGATTTATCAGCAAGGTTTTTTCTGAAGAGATTTAGTACACAAATTATAAGTTATGATCTGATTTATAATTTTTCCTCACATCTTGATTTTCTCAGTTTCATTGGTTGAATAGGTAAGAAAGTAAATAAACATTGTATGTTTTTTAGACTCCCAATCATATTTTGCTTTGATCAGAAGATAAAGCATTGCCGAACAATATTGTTACTATTTTAAGTAGATGCATGACTTTTGTATATTGGTACAATGCAGGCAGATCCAGCCATTTTTAAAGGGAGGGGGGTTCCCAACCCAGGATATACAATGTAGGGGGGTTCCAACCATTATGTCCCCATTCAAATGCATTGATCTTCGAAAAAAAAAGGGGGGGGGGGGCAACCTGCACACACATATATAGGATGTGGTGGGATAAACAAGTGTGTTTATGTTATAAAGCTATTTTGTTATGTTCCACTGTTAATTTTTCTGAGTCCATTCTGACCTTATTAACTCCCAACTATTTAGTTGCCTGTATGTATATGGTACAATATAAGTGGTCTCTTAAATTCTTAAAGCATAATGTAAAAGTAAATAAACTGGTGACACAGAAAAATGTCTCTCCTGTCGGCATCAGTTCAGAAAAAGACTTCTTTTCAAGGTCTTTAGAATACTATAGATATATTTGATAACTACTGCAAAACAGCGTGACAGCCTTGCAAAGGCAATTGGCCCAAGAACACATTTATATGTTTTGGAGTTTAGTGTGACATCCATTTTCACTGAACTAGTACATAATTTTATTTAAAGGCCAGCTAAGGACCACCTCGGGGTGCAGGATTTTCTCGCTTGGTTGAAGACCAATTGGTGGCCTTCTGCTGTTGTCTTCTCTTTTGGACGGGTTGTTGTCTCTTGGATATATATTCCCCATTTCCATTCTCAATTTTATAGGGGGTTCATGACACCTTGTCTTCTGTTAATGGAGACGTCAACTATTAACTTTGTTGTGTTTTATTGTTTCTTTTTGTACAAAATGTGGCAGAAAAAGTCCTGTGTGTGTTAAATTTGTTTACAGTTCACTACTGACCCCCTACATAAAGGGAGAGTAAAATCCATAGGAGTTTCGGCCTTTGGCCTCACCCCCTATAGATTTTACTAACCCTCTATGGGATCAGTAGCAAACCATATAACTTATAGTATGTTGTTTAGCAACTGATATTATACAATTATAACCATTGTATGAGGTCGATATATCCTGTATTGACCTCATACAAAGGCTATAATTGTTACATTATTAATTTCCTACCATATTTTTTTTTATCAAAATCGTTAGTGTATTATGTTATATTCTCTTTTTTAGATTAAATAACTTTGACGGTATTTAAACAACATTTTAGTTGATATTTCTATTATTTTTCATCATTTTTCAAGTACATCTTACATTTATGTCATTTGAAGATTATTTTTCTTCAAATAATCGCTCATAAAATACATACAAAGTACCACTAAGAACTTTTAACAATATCATGAATATCATGAAATTCATTAGATGACGTCACAAACTGAAAGTATATTGGTTTTTAAGATATTCTAAAAATAACCGTGCAATACCATTTTTGCTATCCGCCATTTTCTATCTACCTTCGAAAATATAGTTTTACAAGTGACTATCCCTGAACACATCAAATTAGTTTAAAATATGAATTAATGATATTTTACAATATCAATAAGACAATAAGATACTATACATGACGTCCATCTTGTGTCCATCATGTCCATAGGTAAAATTATGTTGAATGTCTTTGATCTCACTGATTGACTGTTTTGACACTTTTTTTATATATGAAAGTGGATTTTAAATATCTTGGTATTCCTGTACACTATTGTGCAAATCAAAGGAAATAATTATCTAGTACCAGCCTGAGGTACCAACAATGCAACATAAATATTAAGCGACCAAAAATGTTTTACATACTCTATTTGCAATATATGTTTTATACAACATAACAAAATAAAATAAAAATTGGGGTGAACGTGACCCAGGGTGAATATGTATACACCTTATCGCTATTCCCGGCTGACCCGAGAATCCGTCCTGCTTGAACTATTGACTTAATTTTCATACAACAATCACTTTTCCATTGTGGCGTCAGATATTTTGTATTATGACGTTAAATTTTGTATTACTGATGTCCAGTAATGGCGGACAAATAGCGATAAGGTGTATTAGGCCGAACGTGAATCAGGGCGAACGGACCTGGATATTCCCTGTGGCTGTGGTACTTCCTAATGTTCAGTCCAGAACTTATAATACATGTAAGCTATTAAGTTTTAAATGACTAAGGGGTTGGGTCAAATAATCACCATGGAAATGAGGAGCCATTCTAATACAACTGCATACCATATTTAATTAACCAACCACTAAAATACTACTAGTACAGTATTAGTATTAGTAGTCCTATCTATTTTTCTTGCTCAAGTTTAAGGATTTATTATGCAAATATACCACGTTTTTTGATTGAGTTAAGCCTTCCAATTGATATTTTATAGTGTGTTTTTCTATGTTGTGATGTTATACTATTGTTTCAGAAAAAGGGAGAAGGTTTGGTACCATTAAAACGTTTAATCCTGCTGCAAATGTTTGTACCTGTCCTAAGTCAGGAATCTGATTACAGTAGTTGTCGTCTGTTTGTCATGTTTATGTAGTTCATACGTGTTTCTCGTTTTACATAGATTTAAGATTAGACCGTTGGTTTTTTCGATTGAATGGTTTTACATTAGTAATTTTTTGGGGCCCTTTATAGCTTGCTGTTCGGTGTGAGCCAATGCTCCGTGTTGAAGGCCGTACCTTGACCTATATGGTTTACTTTTATAAATTGTAACTTGGATGGAGAGTTGTCTCATTGGCACTCATACCACATCTTCCTATATCTACACACAGACCATTTGAGCTATGCTTTAAAAGATAAAATATTTTAAATGATAGTACCGTTAAACTATTATTTATTGCTGTAACGCTTATTTTTTTCTTGGTCTTCAAATTCAAACTTCACCGCCTGTTCCGATTTAAGACTCTGTTCCGGAACAGATCTAATATTAGTTTGATACTTCCGGGGATTTTTTTTGAGCGATTTGCGGGAGAAATATATTTCATCTTCAGTAGTTGTGGAAGGTATACGGGTTTAATATAACAAGAAAAAGCAAGAATAACGTTGGTAAATATTTAGTTAAGCTCAACGAAAGACAGAAATTAGCTGACATAAAACATAAGTACAGATTTTAAGGTTCATTATATCAAAATGGGAAAAGTGACAGACAACCCAAAACTACTCAAGAGTACAGACTAACCTGTGCAGAAAGCTGGAAAAGTTTTTAAGACCTGGCATCACTAGGTATATGATATTTAAGTGTCTTAAATGTATTTTTTGTTTTGGAAAGATAAATAGTTTTAACCACATGTCATGTTACTGTTAGCATGGTTAGTATTTGTTTATTTTTGGCACTATTCTTTTGTAAATATTTATTTATAGGCAGTGTCTGCACGTACCCACATGCGGGTACGAATAGTCAAATTGCCATTCATAGGCTACGCGTACCCACATCCGGTTTTATAATAAAATGCCATCAGATCGGGAATGAAACGTGAAATATATACGGAAATTATCGATAATATGGGGATTTCGTGTAGAACGAGTGAAGAGTATGAAAGATAATATTTTCAAATTGTATTTATTAGATAATGATACATTATAAACATTGCAAATTAAATGCACACTGATGGAAAATGAAACTGTACAGTCCCTGTAAAAGAAGAACATGATAAAAATTAATACTATTATAAATTGTAAAATAAAATGCAAATTTAAAGAATAAAATTTTACTGATTTTGAAAAATACCCATATGAGATTTAAAAATAATCTTTTAGTAAAATGTAAAACAGAAACTGAAATTTTAAAATATCTTAAACAACTAAAATTAAAGCTTGGGTGTCTTAATATAAAAATTAGAGAAGCAAGTAATAATGTCAAATTATACCAATTAATATAAAAGATTCATGTAGCTAATTAAGATTTGGAACAAATTTTACGTATCCAATATGATTGTTTTGGCACATATTTCAACCCTGCACATTTCAAATGTTGCCAGTCCAAACAACAATCACAGGCCAAAGAGTCCTGATCGTGTAGGTTTTTTTGACATTTGATACATATCCATTCACATGATTCTCTTCTTTCGTTGATCTGAATTTTAAGTTGCTTCCACGCTTCAAAGGTAAAATATTTTTTGATGCGCTGAAGGTTTACATTTTTGTCAAATATTTTGTTTTTTATTAACGAAGCATCTAGAAGATTATTGGCATCGGCCTTTGTTTTATCAGAAATAATTTTTGTGTTTCCGGTTCTTCTTTTCTCTGCAGCTGCAATTGACTCAGAGTTTCTTTTATACAATTGTACAAAATTAATCGACTGATAGTTCTGAACAAATTGTTCCAATTCTTGATAACTTTGAAATGTCTTCCCCACATGTATATCACTCTCTTACATTTTAAGAATATTTATTAACTGAGAAAAACTGTTCACTTACCTATATATAAATATTCATAAATATTCTGAGTAGTTTTAATCAATTTATTCACTAATTGCGACAAATTCCGTATATATTTCACGTTTCATTCCCGATCCGATGGCATTTTATTATAAAACCTGATGTGGGTACGCGTAGCCTATGAATGGCAATTTGACTATTCGTACCCGCATGCGGGTACGCGCAGACACTGCCTTATTTATAATTATCCTACGCATGCGCAGCAGTAGTCCAAATAATTATGACGTCTTGCAAGCCTATTTTATTTTTTTCTGTGACACAAAAAAAAAAAAAAAAAAGCCTTGCAAGATGTCATAATTATTTGGACTAGCGCAGCAGTTAGTAATCCTAAAAAATCTGATGGATAACTGGATATCATAAGGAGAAGAAGAATCTTGTTTTAATTTTGTCAATTTGATGTGCATTTTTTCCGTTCCTGCTGAGCTAGTCCAAATAATTATGATGCCTTGCAAGGCTGCAAGACGTCATAATTATTAGGACTACTGCTTAGCATGCTGACAACGGCTGAATGCTGTCAAAAAGCTGAGGCCAACCTTAAAAATATGTTTGTTTGCAGTTTTACGACTGTACATACAGACTGAAGGGTCGGTAGGCATGGTAGGTAGGAAAAATATTTTATTTTATCAGCCAAAATAAAGTTTAAACAAGCAGTTTCACAAACCAAGTTTCTTGTGAAGAAAAAACATTTTAAAACAACAAGCACTGAAAATCAACATGAAATGAACAGGCATTTTCAGATAAAAAAAATTGTTTAACCAAAACTGAAACTATAACATAGTTTCATTATCCAATTTATGACATAAAAATATGGTATTATTAAATACTGGAACACTTATAAACAAGGAATGACTAGAATTGTTTTAAAGAAATATATTTACTGACATACATGCTTCTTGACAGTAGAATGTTTTCATGAGTAGAGTATTTTCATCAGAAAAATGAAGATATTTAAGATTCATAAAACAATGTAAGACCTTAGTGTTTTCAATAAAAAAAAAATCAACCATTGAATCTTCCTCTTATTATCATTGTCTATCATGTCTATTGAAAAAATAGGCAACTTAAAAAAAATATATTAGACATGCGACTGTTTTCATATTTCTAACAATATTTAATTGTATGTAATATAAGGTTAGATTTTGAAAGATATGTTGATGCCAGGCTTTAATTAAAATAAAAAAAATCTTAGACTTCGGGGTGAAATCCCTAGCACCCCTATAAAAGTAAATGGTCTTTACTGAAATGTTTTGACTGCATAAAAAAATTTGGCAGCATAGCTCCTAAGGACATGTTTAAATTCAATTCACACAGGCATGACAGGCCACACAGTTTGGGTATATTTAATCATTGTTAATATTGTAAGAGAGAGAATAATTGCAATGAGTTGGTCAGCCCCCCTTATTCTAAAGGAGCATACTCATTGCAATGAGTTGGTCAGCCCCCCTTATTCTAAAGGAGCATACTCATTGCAATCGAAGATAGATTTAATATATAGAGTATATTTATTTTTCAAGCCAACCATTCATTTTCTCTACATCTTTGTGTAGTTGGTGTGGCTTCTTATTGATTTGACATTGTCTATCCATTAAAACATTTCAACATTTCAAATATGCCCTTTCTCCGTACAGACGTGTTTACAGGTATCCATGAAGTCATGGAGGAGTGGTTTCATCTTTATCGTCTTAACAACGATTTATAGAAAATATGGCATACTTCAGGCTGCTGTCGAGTTGTTTAACCACTGATATTGGTTCCATAAAGTCAACCTCAAAAGATCTGTACCCGATTTGTTTGAGACAGAAACGGTTATCGTGTCGGTTTTATGAATATCCGCTGCATCATTCCATGTGCAACTCTGCCTGAATCTGTATATACAGTTTACTATTAAACTTTTTTGTTTGTTATTTGTCTTAAAATTGACAGAAGACGACAGCATAAAGTTCTCCTCCATGACTTCATGGATACCTGTAAACAATCTCCATGTGCTTTATCATTAAACGGTCCCATGAACGCTTGACAGGAAGGAAAGAAGAACCGAACTTGAAGCATGTAATCGACCTAGACTTTAAATCAATTCCAGAAAGGACCCTAAGTTCCGGATCGCGTCAATAGAAGTTTTAAAAATAATATCTTCAAATTAAAAGCAATAAAATTTTCACAGTCTGGCAGATTTTCGAAGGTCGGTTGGTAAACTGCAAACAAACAATATTTTGATTTAAGCCTGAGTGAATTATACATGTATTTGACAGGTTAGCAATGAAAGTGGGTCCATTCGCCTAAAATCATGTTCACACCTATTCCTGTCTGTCCCCTTTCACATTTGAACCCCACACGTTTGCACCCTTTTTAGAGGGAGCATCTCAAAATTGTAGGCCAACTTAGTTTATTTTCTACACGGTCTGCAGGAACGAAAAAAAATGCCCATCAAAATGAAAAATAGATTTTATTTTTTAGAAACACAAAACATGCAAAATGCATTTAATTTCTAGCTTACCTGGCCCAAAAGGGCCAATTGAGCTTTTCTCATCAATTTGCGTCTGTCGTTCGCCATCATCGTTGTCCGGTAACTTTTACAAAAATCTTCTCCTCTGAAACTACTGGGCTAAATTAAACCAAACTTGGACACAATCATCCTTAGGGTATCTAGTTTAAAAAATGCATCCGATGACCCTGCCCACCAACCAAGATGGCCACCATGGCTAAAAATAGAAAATGGGGGTAAAAGGCAGATTTTGGCTTATATCTTTGAAACTAAAGCATTTAGAGCAAATCTGACATGTTGTAAACATGTTCATCAGGTTAAGATCTATCTGCCCTGAAATTTTCAGACAAATCAGACAACCTGTAGTTGGGTTGCTGCCCATGAATTGGTAATTTTAAGGAAATTTTTCAGTTTTTGGTTATTATCTTGAATATTATTATAAATAGAGATAAACTGTAAATAGCAATACTGTTCAGCAAAGTAAGATCTAAAATAAGTCAACATGACCAAAATGGTCAATTGACCCCTGAAGCAGTTATTGCCCATAAATGACAAGTTTTACCATTTTTTTCATTTTTACCTATTATCATGATTATCATGAAAACTATAATCATGATAATATTAAGAAAGAAACTTTTTTAAATTATAATAGATAAATAAACACTTTAAATCACAAAATTGATCAGTAAGGCAAGATCTATTAAATAGGCAAATTTTGCCGATATAGTTAGTAGACTGTCACTCTTCATAGGAGTGATTGTCCTTAAATGAGGATTTTTTTTACCCCCATTTTTCTTTAATGAGGTATTTTTTACCCCCTTTTGTGTTTGAGCAAAAACTAAGAAGATAGTGAGAAATTAAACAGACTAAAAGATCAGTAATACAAGATCAGCAAAATAGAGATTTTTGTCATGGTCTATTCTTGTCTACAATGTTGGAGAGTGTCCTTTGTTTGATATGCACATAGACCA